ATGGTATTTACAGTGATCCGCCCACAAGGAAATTGCTAAATCCTCTCTGTGACACAGTGTTGTTTGAATTATGTGCTAGTGTCACTTTTTCTGTTCACTGTAGCTGCAGAAACAATGCTTCAAGTCACATAAAGCAAGCATTTTCAGTGAGAAACACTCTGTACTACCTGTGCAATGGCATACAGTTGTATGCACTGCCTATCAAGGATTTATTGGAGTATTTAGAAGGTGGAGGCAGATAGTAAGAGCTGTTAAAAAGCAACAACCAGTTAGAGGTGGACTAATAGTTTGCATGGCGCCAAAACACAACTCTACTTCAATACAATGAAATATAGTAGTTAATATTTTCAAGCAAGAAAACTATTTCAAGGTGTAACATTCATCTGGATCTTTTTAGGCTTAAATAATAATCATCATCCTGGCATTTCTGCATTAACTGGTTACTTTTCTCGATAATGTGTAAAAATAAAATAAAATATAAATTTATAGATGAAAGACTATTAGAGTGATTTCAGGCAAACAGCTGACTGGGTCCTTAAAAACGATGAGTAAATTTTCTGTAATAAAGACGCAGTGCGGCTGTAACCTCACAGGAAGGTGTTTGTTTTTCTTTAAGTGAAGGAGACAGGACGGCAAGAGGCTGTGTTTTATGTCGGATTAGCAGGGATTAGGCTGTTAAACCAGACGTTGCTGAGTTAATCATGCCACCTTTCCCTTTATCAGTGCGTGCTGCACATTTCACACGCAAACGCCTACATGTGTAGAAACAGAGAGGTTAAAATAGGAGGTGGGATGTTAATGAGTTACCTTAATTCTTGTGTTGATTTGAACCTGACTCATTTTGATTTTGATATGTAGGTGACTCCCACACGCTTTCTTTTGGTACCGTGAGAGTTTCTTCATTTCTTTTACTCAATGACACAAATAAAAATTTGCTGAGAAAAGTCGCTTGCCCCACAACATGTTTTATATAAAAAGAGAAAAGAAAAAATAAAACAAACAATTAGAATTTTACAAATACAGGGCAATTCTTGTTGGTGGTATGAAAAACAATTGTACTGCCGTGGCTAGAAAAAAAGTGGCTAGATTTGCTTTATTTCTATTTATTAAATCTTGCTGGGCATCCATCAACGGGCCATGACCACAGTGCCCCCTATGGATAAAGGGATAAAAGAAGGAAGCAAAAACTGCTGGAGGACACCAGCAAGCGTGGTCCGTGCATGTGTGATGCTTTAAATTAGATGTGTGGGTCAGCCTGCCAAGTAGGAGGACAGCAAAGGTTTCAAGAAGGGCAGGAGCTGTGCAAGTCATAATGACACAAAGCTGACAACAAGAGTCAGAATTAATTTAGGATCACAACTTCAGGCTTCAGATGACTTCTCATCTGTCTCATCAGACTCCTTATAAAAGCTATCAGCATGCATAAACAACAATGAAAATTAATACATTTTAGGCATTTTGTTCTCGAATTACTGAATTACTTTATGCTCTAAGACACATAAATTTCAGGGGAAAGAAAATGGTTACCATGAAAATGACTCGTTTTCATAATTACTCCATGATGATGGACATGAAAAACCAGCCTCTGGCAAGAGCACATGAGTTAATCAAACAGCTGACAGTTGACTCAGTGACACTCTGAAGACTTACTCAAGTAGCGGTCCTCTCTATAGATTCTGTGTCAACAAGCATTTATGCTTCTGAAGTGTCCTTGAGCAAGGCCACAGATTCCTATCAACTGCACTGGATATAAATGTGTGGCTGGCCTTCACACTTCTGATTTCCCACTGATAAAGGCCAATCACGTGGAGTATGTGGTGCAAATAAACTCATGTTGATTGCAAAACATTCATATTTGTCCCTAAATAAAATACTGTAGATATCAGTATTTTACTGTAATGGAGCTGTTTATTTTTACACGTACATGTAAACAACCTGTTTATGCTGTTTTTGTATACTTATTGTATGTGCTACAACTTGAAGCTGTTGCACCTATCTAGGTCAGCTGAGCGAGATCTGAAATTGTCAGCTTTCTGCAGACTAAATAGGTCATGCTAACCAGAACCAGGGGAAGGGGGCGGGGAAGTTTGACAACCTTCACATACACTTTGAGTTTTCACCACAAAACAATCCCAAGATTGCTGATAACATCAAAAACCCAAGATAGACAACCGCTTCAAGCTACAATGTGAAACTACTGTACGACAAAGGCTATGGCAGTCATGTTTTGGTAGGACTACAACACGCTATGGGAATATCGCATGTGAGTGTCACGTGCATTCGCATGTAGCCATGTGGCCATATGCACTTACACATGAAGATGCAGCCATGAAATCAAGAGAAATCAAAGTAAAGCTAAGCTATATAACAATTCAAATCTGCTGTGCCATATATGGAGAACTTCACTGCACAACTGTTCAGAAAGAAAGTATAACATGCATATGCAGAAAGTATAAATCCATATTAGAGCCAAAGGAGATATATGAACTAACTGCATCAGAGCACCAGGCCCATATCATCCCACATAAACAAATCCTAGTGTTGCGTAATAGCATGGTACATGCCTAAATTGGTAATGAAGATGCAAAGTTGCAGCATGATGCAACAGTGGGCTTCCTGTCCTCAATTTAGGAGCCACAAGATGCAAAAACATCAGTAGTGGAAAAAGTATATATATATGTGCAGAGACCATGTATTCAGTGAGTCCCCGGCCACCCTTTTTGCACTGTCAACATGGCTCCGAGAGGTACGATCACCCTGACGGCCCTTCTCCTCTGCTTCATACTGGGGATACTTTGTCCAGCTCCAGCTGAATGTAAGTTTATTTTGTTGCATTTAACTTTTGGTCAGTTAATAATGACAATATGACATAACGACTCAAAGATGACATGTTAATGATCTGGTGCCTTTGCATCTGTGTCTGTGTGTGCATTAGGTGCCCGTACATCCTGCTGTACCAGCTACAGTAAGACGCCCGTGTCCTTCAATCGCATCAAGGGATACAGAGAACAACGTAACTGGGAAAACTGTCGCATCGAGGCGATCATGTAAGACTCTTCTAAACCATCCAACTTTGCCTGCAACCTCTAAATTACTCATTATAATACTTGACTAGAACAATCATAGCAAACATTGCCAAACATTTGCAAGTGGATTGGTGGGGACTAACGGGGTGGATTGGATCTATTCCAAAATATTCCAAATACATTGGTAGTTTTTTGTGGCGAGACGTATTAAAGTTATTTCTGCAGATTTTTGTGGAATAAAAATAAGACTTTTATTTTTAACATTTTAATGTTGTTAAATCATAAATCAAAATTTAATTAAAGTTGAGGTTGTTCTGAATCAGTCTAATCCAACAAAACTTAACCACTTTTGATTCATATTATATTTATATTATAAAACCTAAAATCCTTAAATTGAGTTATTAAATTATTGAAGCAGAGACTCTGGCATATGATATTATTTATCATATACCAACACATATACATGCCGCATAAATGAATACACTTACTAGTACTATGATACTCTGTGTTACTCTAATGATGTGTCTCGCTGTTATAGTTTCTACACGGTTGCAAACAGGCAGATGTGTGCCAATCCGAAAGCTGAATGGGTGAAAAAACTCCTTGAACAACTCAGGTATGACATGCTTACTCACTTTAAAATGTCAAATAGGGGCTGTTTAGATGCTCACCTGAAGATCTGTAAAAGCATAAAAAGGTTTGTTTTTGGCATTTCACATTAAGAACTACTTATTTTTTTAGCGCAAAACTGAAGAACATGTCCAAGGGTGGCTCAGTGAAGAAAACTGGAAACGCTTCAGGTCGTGATGGAAGTGGATCTGACCTCACTGCAACAGAGGCTTTCACTGCTTATTAGCAAAAACCAGGTGTCACCTTAGACAGCTCGATGTAAAGAAATCGCCATGCAGAATTAGCCAGTGTGCCTATACATTTGTTATAAAGATACTCAAGCATTTATAATCAAGTTAATGCTGAGGGCACTGTCCCTTGAAAAACTGAAAAAATGTGTAATGCCTTTGCTTTACTTTTCGCTCTTAACTTCTTCAGCCTCAAGTCTAAATTCAGTACTCCTGTATTAAGACTGTATTAAGAACAGATTTGAGACAAATGTTGTTGATTATTTGTTCATTCTCTCAATAAATTTTTACAATAACATCTGTTTTGTTTCATTCACTGCAACAAATCTGCTGCGTAAACAAATGAATGAGGTAAAATATACATATATTGCATTTCAGACAAGTAAATGAATTTATTTCAGGGTAATGTAACGCTGTTGTCTACATTTCTTTAGTCAAATTGCAGCTAAAATCTGCCATGTCACTTTCACTGAATGGATTTTAAAGTTATTTGAGTGACTTTAGAACTTGTTAACCAGTTTCACAAAATATTTCAGGTAACCCAACCATTCATTTAGAGAATATTTTCCAATCAATTAATGAGTTAAGTTAGGAACACTTTAAGCACTTGTACTTAAGCGTTGGATGGTGAAAACTTGATGAGCAATACTGATCTCTGAGCTCATGTAAATGTATGACATGGCTGTTAGGGAGGCAGTTTCCTGTGCTATTTCAGATTAACACCCCAAGAGGTTGGTGTACCAGTCATGCAAGGTGACACACTCCTTTGACTGAATATGCACTGCAGTCACTTAAAGCACCCACTAGAGGGCAGAATGAATCTGAGAATAACACCATTGTCTGCTGCGTCATGAGATTTTGATAGTCTGGCTACAAGGACATGAACATTTTTTGAAATGCTCTATTTACAAAAAATCAAGGCTCTTCTCTTTTTCAAGGTCTATGCCTCACAAACAGAGAGAAGTCAGAGGAGTTTATATCCACAATTTCATTAAACCAGTTGTTATTAGTCATGTCTTAAAGTTACTTTGCTATGAGCTAAAAAAGGCAATTAGAATAAGAGCGATTTAAAGGAATAATTTGACTTGTTTAATGTCTCTTCAAATATCCACCTCACATAAATACTAATTCAGGGTTGCATATACACCATGAAGCTAAAAAGAAGAAGAAGAAGAAAGCTTGCATGCTTCAGGCGCACAACAGCACTCACCTGTTTTTAGTAGATTGACAAAAATGAGACATGGGAAGACACACAGCAACATGAAAAGGAGGAAGCATCATGCTTTGTGGTTTCTTTTGCCAGAAGCTCACTAGAAGTTCGCAGTAGGAGAATGACTGTAAAGACTGAAGTTAATCCACTACAGAACAACACTTTGAGAGATCTGACAGAGCCCAGGCTTAAATGCTTTGGAATAACCTCAAGAAAGTCACTGACATCCTAAGAAGATGGCTGATAAGTGGTTCAGAAGGGAAGAATGATGTCAAATTGCTTACTTCTTCCATCAGCAGTGTAACAGCTAGTATTGCATTCAAATGTTGGGTTTGGTGTGTTCTCAAAGCATCACTTCTCTGTTTTATGGATGTGTTCAGTGAAGTCAAGTAAGGGAGTTGTAACCGAGCAAAGAAAATCAGATAACAACAAGACTGTGGATACATGATGGGATCAGTCATTTCATTTATGAAAAACACCATAAAAGTCTCAGCTGTATTACTCTTGTCATGGAGATATACGGTGTGTTTGAAAAGAGCAAGCACATACCATAAGCGGAAATTTAAATTAAAAAGGCAAAACAGAAAAAATAAACATCCCTGGTTACAAATATACAATAGAGATGAAATTAGAAAGCATTTAAAAGTATTTCAAATTAAAACAAATGTCTGTAGTCCTTTCTATTCGTAATAAAGAAGGATGCTCTCTGTGAGCTGGAGTTGAGAGCAGTCTTACTCCTCTGCGTGCGTGCCTGTAAAACACACATACAGTGGATAATGGTTAAAACAAGCTTGTGGTATACTTAGGCAACATTATATCCAAAGAAACCAATAACTTCTCGAAACAGGAAACAGGCTGAGATAAGGAGGCATACTCACTCTAGCTCCTTGATCTTTTCATATACCCAGTCTTGTTTCCAGTGGCTGCAGACTTCCCCTTCTGTTGTCTCAAATCTGGGTGGAGAAAAGAAAAAAAACTCAAACTTGAGCCCATATTTTTCACCTGGCTTACTTTCATAAACTTGCTTTTCCAACTGCATCAAAATTATAAATGTAAAATGTTTTGATCATGTCTTTCTTTGAAATAAATAAGGAAATAAATCTTACATAACACAGGGTGGGTTCTTCCTCTGTGATGGGATTGAGACTGACCTCTTTGCTGCAGTCACTTGTCTTGATCTCTGTTTTTAGGAAACAATAAAGCTGTTCAATATTATGAAAAGTCCTTGCATTTTCTAACAGGTAATGGCAGCCAAAGCAGAGAACTGTAGTTACAACTGTAATGTAAATTGTAACAATAATAGTCTGATGGGAAACTTACCAGAGACCGCTTCTGATGCACAGCTGTATGGCTTCTGTATAAGCTGATCAGAGGACCCTGTAGGTGGAGAAAACTGATCTTCTTGAAGCAGACTTGTAGCTTTTATCTCATGAATGGAGAAAGCAGGCCATACTGACTGGGTGAATTCCGTATTAGTTTTTTCTATAGTGTCTGTTTACATCAGCGTGATGGACAGGATGACTTGGATGACACTGCATTTCCGTTTGACGTGATTTCATTATGACTTTGACAGAGGACTTCAGCACTCGTGTTTGTGACTATTACTCTTATTTTGTTTTTACGTGCAGGACTCAGTTTGCTGTGGGGGATAGGGGATTTACATGGTAAAAACAAAAACATACCCCCCACCTACGCTTTTAACACAAACCACACTCTGATTACGCACATAAAGTAAATAACGAAGTGACAAACTGACTGCAAAGACATCATCCTGCCCTGTAGGAGGGGAACTGTGTTGCTTGTACTGACTTGGTAAATGGGCTGGTACTTATAAAGCAGTGCATCCCCACTGCAAACAGGAAGGTGCTCAGAGCTGATCCCTGATGTAATCCCAACCCCGCTTTGAAACCATCCGTTATTCCTACTGTACACCTCACCACTGTCTCGCTGTCCCTATCATCATTTTTTTTTTACTCCTTTTACTCACATCTTAAACATATGTGAACATCTATGTGTGTGTGTTTTATTTGTATCTGTTCCATTT